GCTCCTGGGCCCAGCACTGTGAGCTCAGCATGGGACAGGCGTCCTGAAGCTCTGGAGCCTGGAAGACTGAAGATTGCTCACATTAAGAAAAACAGCCTCATCCAAGCCTTACATCCTCACGTGCAACGTCATTTGGGTACTGAGCCACTGAGCAGAGATATGAGGCTCCATATGGTGTGATTTCTACTAACATAAACACACGTAGAAAATTTGAAAAACCTGGGTTTCCAAATTGTTAGAAACCTAATCTCTTTCTCCCGTGGCAGATAAAAACCTAAATGAGAAATAGTTTCTGTACTAAAAACATCGCTAAGTTTCCAAATTTTAAGATATTTTTCTTAATATCTCTAATAAGTAACATCTGCACATTTTATTCAATTAAAAGTGGATCTTGAGTAACTTTCTTCAATTTTTTTCTAATGGGTGAGTGTTCTTGATGGAAACAAATGGCACCAACTGTCTCAGTCTGCTGGGACAGCCGTAACAGAATACCATGAACTAGGTGGCTTAAACAATAGACTTGTCATTTAATTTCTCACAGTTCTGGAGGCTGGAAGTCTGAGATCAGGGCACCAGCACGACTGGGTTCTGGGGAGGGCTTTCTTCCTGGCTAGCACACGACCACCTTCTCACTGTATGCTCACATGGCAGAGAGAGAGCAAGCTCTCTGGTGTCTCTTCTTAAAAGGGCACTAATCCCTTCATGAGGGCCCCACCCTCAAGACCTCATCTAAACCTAATTATGTCTCAAAGGCTGCACCTAACAAACACCAACACATTGAGGGTGAGGGCTTGAACATATGGATTTTGGGTAGACACAGTTTAGTCCCTAACACTCACACAGGCTAAGAGAGTAGATGCGCTGGGAAAATAAAGGGTAGTGGCACACAGAGTCAACAGGAAGGCTGGAGAACCAGGGTCAGAAGGTAGACAGGGGAGAGGCCAGGCAGCAGGAGCCGACCCCAAGAGCATGCCCAGAGTGGGCCCCAGGAGGAGGAGGCCCCTGATGGTGTTCCTATACCTTGGCCATAGACAGCTGTCATCAGTACCATGGACTGGGGCACCACACTGCCCTTGTAAATAACCCCTCAACTGCTCTTGCCTCCCTGCATCTCTCCCTCTAGACACTAGAATCACCCTACTATTATTTACCTGAGGACAACCGCTACCAACACTCCAGAGTACCTCTCTCCACACCACCCTTCCTGCACGTGCACACTGGAAATGTCATTCAGTCCACAGATACTTGCTGAGTGCCTGCCGTGTTACAGCATCTACTTGTACTCAGGATCCAATAACGAATTTCTATGGAGAACACATATACGTTATTTTACAGAAAAATGGGATTGTATAGAACGAACCGCTAGAGCTGGTCTGTAAATTGTTATTCCCTGTTTGCAGTTAGATAAGTGCAGAAATCAGGAGTAGACATTTAGAAAGGTTTATATCAATCTGACACCACCACGGCACCCTGGGGTGTGGCCAGCGGCTGCATCTCCACGAACAGGAGTAGAGCAGTTCCAGTGTTGTGAATTCACCTCAGGGTGCGTGTGTTATGAGCTGCACACTGGGCATGCCCCTATTGATCTGCAACAGATTTGAAAACCTGGGTTTTCAATCTGACAGACAGACAGACAGAAGTCAGATCACAGATGGTTGAGAAGAACTGGTATCAAATGTGGGTTTTGCAACCCGTTTCTCTTACAGAACATGCTGTGAGCATCATTCCTTTTCAAGAAATATGCCTCTATAACAATTTAAATCAAGGTGTTATTCTTCAGTTTTTAAGTTTGATTAGTTGAGAGGTTTAAATCAAATTTTAATTGATGCCTGCAACTTTCCTGAGATAGCCTTCTCACACTCGAATATTACATTAACACGACTTATGTACAATGTCATTGAGATTCAGAAACAGTGGATCTCTCTCGAATGCTTTTCCCAGGGGAACCATTACCAAACTGCAGAAGGTACCTCACTAAAAGACAATTTCATCCATAATGAGGTCCAACAGCGGAAACTTCTAGACAATATTTTCGTAGAGCTTTAGTTGGCAGCACAGTGGCCTCTTTACTGAGTCCTTCACAAATCCCAAAGTAATAAATGTCACTACAGCACAAGCAAGCTGTCTTCTCTTACACAAAAAAGACAAATTTTGTTTTTCACTTTACCTCCTCAATGACTGAAAAACCCTGAGCAGAGCTGTGTTGAGATGCTGTTGCGGGGGGTGGCTAGGCTCACCCACTAGATAAGTGACTGGCTCCCCCCACCTGTCCTGAAGTGCATGTAGGTCAAGTCTGTGTTTCTCTCAAATTACAAATGATTAGATGTTGAGAACCTCTGGGGCCACTCTAGAATGAACACATCTGTATATAGAAGGAATATTCTAGAAGAATTGCATTAGCTTTGTGGGGGAAACTGCCATTCATTTGATGGGACGGTTTATGATGTGAATGGAGGGACAGGATGCCTGCTTTAAGAATTGTGGAGACAGATAGGGAATAGGGGAATCTGCACCTCCCAGGCTGCACGGACCAATAGAAGGACGACTGTCCTTCACATTGTGCCGCTCCCCTCTCCTCTCCCTGCAGTGGACATTCCTAATCCACTGGGGCCTGTTTTCCACTCAGCCTCCAAGTCATCCTCAACACTGTGCTCTACAGAGCTCCTCGCAGGTGACAGTCGTGGGACCTGAGCCCACACCTACTTACCACTCCTGCCCTCAGCCATTTGCAATGAAAGACAGGAACTCTAGAAGTCTCTCAGGCTTACATAAGGTTTTCTACCTTGTCATAGTTCAACTATGGAATATTTAGTCCTGTTTAGCATTTTTTCTTGGCTCCCACCTTCTCCAAAAGTGACTTTAGGTCTAACATTCTAGATGCTTCAAGTATGGAGAAAGCATTTATTTCAAAAGGATAATACTATCTGTGATATTTTTCCCAAACATAGACTTTCCTCTAAGAAAGTCCAAGTTGTAATTAACTGGCAAGTGAAAGATAATTATGAATGTTGGTCACTTAAATCTAAGTTAGATTCTAATTATAGGTCATAGAATAATGGATGTGCTCTGTAGTTTTTAGTACATTCACATGCTAAGGTAAAAAATAGCCACTCCATGCCAAAAAAGGAAAGAATGAGAGTCTTTCAATTTTACCCACTTGTTAAAAGAGAAAACATGATTTCTCATTTTATTTCCTTAGGCCTGAGCGCATGTATCAATTCACTTGCCAAATTTTCCTCCAACAGATCTTAGGAAAAACGTTTTGTTTCAACATTTATTATAATATTCCCAAACAAATTAATCTTCTTTGTGCTTTACTCTTTCCAAACAGCAAAAATGTCATTATAATGACATATTTTGGTAACTAAATATGTGGTGAATATACTGGTATATCCATTCCTGGTGTATCTATTATACCTGGTATATTCATTTCTAAATGCAAAATAAAAATAACAACTATAAAATTTCAGATGAATAAACCAAAACCATCACTTTTTCAAAAAGAGTCACAATGTCAGTGTGCTTTACAAAAGCTAAAGGTTATGGGAGAATTGATTCTTATTGTTCGAGTTTAACTGACCTGTTGATCACTGTGTCTAGATCAGCGCTGTGCACCAGAACTTCCCATGATGGTGGAAATGTTCTCTGTCCTGCAGTCCAATGTGTTAGCCACCAGACACGTGGCTGCTGAGCACTTGAAACATGGCTCATAAGGAAAAGAAGTTTCAATTTAATTTAATATAAACTAATCTAAATTTAAATGGGCACACATGGGTAATAGGTACCATATTGGGCAGTGCAGATATAGAACAGACGTGGACGTTTAGAAGATACGAAGATGAGTGTGATTTTTGGTTTTTCTCTTAAAATGCCTACAAAGCAGCGCGTGCGGGCTGGTCCGCACAGCCAAAGGCTGCAGCCCAGAAGTGGATTCTAATCAGGGCCAGGGGGATGGTGTCCTGATGTGGACACAGCTGCCTGGGCTGGGAGCAGCGGCCTGGAGGCGGTATCCTACCCCGTTCTGCACATCTTTGGGGGTAATAAAGAAGTAAAAAAACAAGGATTCAAACCAACCACAAACACCCTTTCCCGCCGATTCAGGCTGAGAGTAGGTTGGAAGGTCTCGGGGAAGGAAACCTGTATCTGGCCTGGCCTTGAGGTGGTCTCTTTTCACCTTGAACTTCCAGGACTCTGAGCAAGTCGCTCAACCCATGTGGGTGACCCAGCTGCCCTTTTGAAAAAGTTGGACAATCTTGGAGATGTCGCCAAAAATCTAATCCCGCCTGCTTCTAGCTCTGTGATGGGTCGAGGGGCAGATGCCAAGCGTTGTCTCGGAACGGGCTGCCCTGCCCCAGAGGCGCAGCGCGGCCTCTGCACAGGCAGCGTGTGAGGCTGGAGGGGGCTCTGCAGGCACAGGTACGGGACCCGGGCCGCGCGCGCGTCCTTAGTCCTCAGCCTGCACTCGGGACGGCGGAGAGACCGAGTCCTAGGAACCCCGGGAGTGGTTGGGTGACCCTGAAACTTTCTTCTTTCGGAGACTGACCCAGGACCGACTGCAGAGCAGGCTGCTGGCAGGGACCAAATGGAGCTCCGCGCCAGGCCCAAGGCTGCGCCCGTCACTCGCAGTCCCGGGCCGGGTCCCTGGCGCGCCGTGGCGCGCAGCCAGGCCCTGCCACCCGGGCTTTGCCGCGCGCCCCACTGCGACCTCGTGCGCCGGGTCCGCGGCGGCCTCTCGCGGGACCTCCCGGACCCCCCACCCCTGAGGCTGCGGAGGGCACCCACGGGGCGAGGCGGGGGCGGCGGGGGGCAGGAGGAGCGGCGGACGCGGGCACGGCGCCAGGGCGAGCGGGGCGGGTGGCGCGGGGGAGGCGGCGGACTAAAGGGAGGCGGCCGGCGGGGCCCGCGGGTCACTCGGAGGCTGGGCCGGCGGGCGGCGGGACCCGCTCGCGGAGGCGCGCGACAGCGGCGGGCGGCGGGGCGCGGAGCCGAGGGGCCGGGCGGCGGCCGCGCGCACCATGCCCTCCTTCGACGAGGCGCTGCAGAGAGCCGGCGAGTTCGGGCGCTTCCAGCGGCGCGTGTTCCTGCTGCTGTGCCTGACGGGCGTCACCTTCGCCTTCCTCTTCGTCAGCGTGGTCTTCCTGGGCACCCAGCCCGACCACTACTGGTGCCGCGGGCCGAGCGCCGCGGCGCTGGCCGAGCGCTGCGGCTGGAGCCCGGAGGAGGAGTGGAACCGCACGGCGCCCGCCCGCCGCGGCCCCGAGTCCCCCGGGCGCCCCGGCGACGGCCGCTGCCAGCGCTACCTCCTGGAGGCGGCCAACGCCAGCGCGGCCGCCCCGGGCGCGCTCAGCTGCGCCGACCCGCTCGCCGCCTTCCCGAACCGCTCGGCGCCCCTCGTGCCGTGCCGCGGCGGCTGGCGCTACGCCCAGGCCCACGCCACCATCGTCAGCGAGGTAAGGGCGCCCCGCTCCGCTCCCCGCCGGGCCCGCCGCCCCTCGCGCGGGGCCACAGCCTTCGGGCATCTCTCCGGGACGCGCCTGTCCCGCGTTCCGAAGCTGGCGGGGAGGACGGTGCTGACTCTCTGGCGACACGTAGAGTGCGAGAAGTTGGCCACCAGGGCAGGTCAGCGGAGACGGCGACCCCGGCTTCATCCCACACCTGGAAGCGAGGCGTCCTAAATGCCGGGAAAGACCTTTCCTTACTTTCCTGTGCCAGTGAGTTAATGCAGAGATGCTTTGGGTTCAGGTGTGAACAAAAAAAGGGCCTAGGAGCCAGGTTATGTAGATGCTTCGCACACACCTTCTCGGGAGTGAAAGCATCCAGCGTGACGTTATCTTGCGATGTGTTGTCGCCGCCGTTCGAAATTATGGGTGGACTCATAGTAGGGAACTGCAGTCTCTTGGGCAAGCGACGTTGGAGGGTCCGGGTTGGCTTGTGGTCTCCAGGGGTCAAAGGAAAGGAGAAGTCAACGTTGAAGGCGGCAACAATTTTTTCCAGTTGCCCAAATGCTTATCCGAAATGCAAGGGGACAAAGGTCGAGGCTCTCCCAGGGAATGGTTTTGATAAAAGTGCTTTGGGGCAAAGAGCAACATCTGAAAGAAGTGGGGAAAGCTGAGGGGTTGGATAAGAGGGATCACTTTGTAATAATCGACTCGGAAACTGCCTCAGTAGAGCAAGGGTTGCAGGGATGAGCAGTTTTACTGCGCTTTGTCTACGATCATAGCTCAACTTAATTTTCATAAAATGATTGAATATGCTCAGATAAGCTGAAGACAAAGTTGTGTCTTTGCTTTATTTTTTCATCATTAACATTTTAAAGCACCTACTTGAATAACGGAGAAAACACTGGAGGGAGGTGGAAGTGCCCTTTCTGTGGCTGTTAACAATGTTCTTTGGTCTGGTGACCTCACCTTGCACTTGGGATCGTGGATGGTGGCGGCTGTACATGCTCCATAATGCCATGTATGGGTGTGTTAGCACACGGTGTATGGCCCTATACTGAGTGCTCTAGGCATAAAATCCCATGGCAGCACAGCCAGGCAGTGTGCACCTACCTGTTTTGGGTCCTTTAGTTTCTACTTAATCCCTGGGTAAGGCTGGGGACTGCTTTATAAACTGTGGTGGTCTTACTGATAGAGATCCCACAGTTGAACAAGACAGGAGATGGCACGTGCTTGGGTGCGAGAAGGTGTTATCACTGGTACTTCTCTAGAGCTGCATTGTTAGGTGGCTGCTCCTATTCCATTTAGCAGGCTGCTTACTGCTTACTTCCCCAGAGAAGAAGAACCACCTGGAGAGTAGACACCTGATTTTTAAGGACACTTTAAAAGAAGAATAAAACCAGTCTTAAAAAGCAAAATGCATACACACTTGAGGGAGGTTTGCATCCATGAATGTGATCCGTGGATATCAACAAAGAGAGACATAAAAATCTGTAAGTCAATGCCCCAACAGATACTTGAAAAACATTCTGGGTTACCAGGGTTACTAGCATTCTGAGGCTTTATGAAGATCAGTGGCTTCTAAAACACAGTGTGGAATGATGAAAGGTCAGGAGATGGTGCCTGACTCAGTTTCCAGCTAGCCGTATGGCTTGAGTGAGTCACTTACGCTCTCTGGGCTTAGCTTTCTCATCTGTAAAACTATGCCTTGGGTTAAGCCTTTTACATTCCCACAATTACCATCGGTGTCACCAGTGGGGTACTGTTTAGTATGTCCAGAACAATGACCAAAAATTTTCAAGGAAAAGTAAAATGGTATTCAGAATGTGCCCCTTAAAGCCACAGAAAAGCTTCTGAAAAGTATTGGAGAGATTTTTTTTTAAATCCCAAATAGTTTTGTGCTTCTTTTGGTGTGTTTGTTTTTCATCATGTTTTGATTCTTAAGAGGAAACCCCCATTTATTCAGGAAGTTCAGCCATCCAGAACTACTCAGTCTCTCTCAAGAGTTCTGCATGCCTGATGTTTTGCTGTCTTTGGTTTTGATTACGATCCCATTCGTTTTTGTTCTTTCAAATTCTGTCAGAATGATGAAAGGAACTGTAGTTCCATCTTTAGCTGGCATTATAGACCCAATGCATTTTTGTAAACTTGAAGTGTCAGATATTAATCATGCAAACGGGTGAACTGGGAGAGTTTATAAAGTGGACAGGCTAACCAGATAGCAGAATGCCTCCATGTGGCTGTTACTCTTAATCCTGCACCATCGTGGGGAAGGTATCATTGTCCTGGCTTTATAAAATAGAGACCTGAGGCCAGAGATACCGTAGTACCTGTCAGGGTCCCACACCTTTTATATAGCCAGATTGCATTCAAATCCAGGAGTCTGGATTGTAAATTAGTCCCTTTTCCTCCATGCAGTGCTCTAAGTCCTTCAAACAAGTCCATGAAACATGGTACGTAGACCTCTCACACTTTATAACCCGCAGAAATCTTGCTGAAACTTTGTGTTTATTTGATTACTATCATGGTCCTTGGGCCAACATTTTGTTTTGTTTCCTGGTGTCAGGCAGTTTGGGATGCTGTGCCTTCATTTGCTGTGAATGGTTCTCTATCCTTTTGATGTGAAAGTTGCAAAATAGTCACTTAAATCTCATCCGCCCTCTTCGTATCTTACAGCTCAAAATAGCTCTAAGGAGCTAAGTCAGAGGCCAGTGCCAACTGCAGGGCCATTTCAAGCCAGCTCCCAACTCGTGTCTCCTGCTCAAGGCAAGGCAGTGGATTTCCCACCTGCATTGAACTTCCTCAGTGTAGACTTTTCTGGGGCCTGACTCTCAGCCTTACCTGGTTGTCAACGTTGGGCAGAATAAAACATGATGTAATGCAGAGAAGTAAGTCAGAGCCCCACCCCAGATATTTCAATTCACTGCACAGGGAATGAGTCTTAAGACCGATGTTAGGATTTTTCAATGCTTGCTAGTATGCCATGGATGAAGAAAAAAAAAAAGAGCTTCTCCTTAGTCTATCACTGGGCACAGGGCTTTAGATCACTTCTAGAAATAGACTGAATCACACTTGTTTTTCCTTTCCAGATAATTTTTCTTCCAGAATAAAAAAAAGTCGATTTGAGGGATGCAGCTGTTCTGGAGAGAGCGGTGGCTGCTTTGTTCTCACGGGTTGTACATGTGCTTCATGTGTCTGTCTGTGCTTCTCGCATGTCTGTGCCAAGACATAGGCCAACCCAGTGGGCCACCCCGCAGACATCTGTGCCATTGTCACCCTGTCCTCACTGATGATTTGTTAATCATGTAATTGCACTGTTGAGACGGGGGTTTAGCCAGGCCCAGGTTCTAGTCTGGTTGAGTCTCTCATTTGGTATGGGCACTTTAGAATGATCTCAGTTTTGTATTGTTTTTATTCCTAACATTATTTGGGCCTTCCTCCCTACCTTTTTTTTTTTTTTTTGCTGAACTAACCTCAGTGAGGAGAATGTCTGTTTTATAGCATTGTTTTCTGTTTTATTAATTTCTCTTTATTATTAGCTCTAGTTTTGGGAGGTTACTTTTGGTCTACTTTTTCCAGTTGAAGTTGGACATGTAGCTCAAGTATTTATAGCCTTTCTTCTTTTCTAGTATAAATATTTAAAGCTATAAATTTCCTTCTGTGAACTTCTTTGCACCTCAGCAAGTTTTGACATGCATATTTTAATTATTTTATTCTCAGTATTTTAAATTTTCATTATTTTTTTTTTGATCCATGATTTATTTAAGCTTGTTCTTAAATTTAAGATGTATGCTGATGTTTTTACTTTTTAATTGTTGGCTTCTTATGTAACTGTGGTATGGTCAGAGAATGTGGTTTGTATGATACTGATTTTTTTGAATTTTATTGGAACTTGTTTTCTGGCCTTGTAAAAAGTGAAGTCATCTTCTGTCAGTGTTCCATGCATACTTGAGAAAAA